TGAGCTACTGCCGACGTCTCGCCCGCCGATGGAAGGTTGAAATCCCCCAGAACCATAAGTCTGGGGGTCCCAACCGCCACCCCGGCTATCACATCGGCCAGCTCAGGCAGGGCTGCTGTTACATAGCAGGGAGCCAGGTATATAATCAGCAAGCCCACTTGAACCCCTTGCCCCCATTTCACGAGGAGGGACTCCACACAGGTTCCTCTGTGATTGTATCATTCTTCAAATATAATAAGTTTTGGCAATTGGCAAGTGCAACAGATACTACCTTTGGAGTTCCTAATGCATACTCTATTTTAGTGGCAATGTATTTTGTATTAAAAAATCCAGGGTGCCTACCTTGGTTGTGCTGCTTCACTTGCATGTAGAAAAGCTTGGTGGTCACAATGCAGAATAAAGACAATAGGTGCTAAAAGTTCATGCATACCCTACAATTAAAAAGAAAACTAGATTTTATCTAATGTATTAGAATTTAGCAACTCTGTATTACTGTGTGCTTTTAATATAGATTATAATTTAATCAGTATTTATAGTATTCTCAAACAAATGGGAAATCACCACATTTTAAAATAGCACAGTATCAATGAGTTCACCACTGAGCACTTACATATAGCTCTATTTAAAATTCTCTCTTTTGGTTTAAAAAATACTATTGTGAATAATAACAGCTCTACTATGAAGAAAAACCAGAGTCACTGGGGTTTTCATGGAGGACTAAGACTAGTACCTAATCAATGACTACTAGTACAGAGTCTCCTCAAGGATAGGCAATATACATTTTATAAAAACTGTAGGGAACAATAATGGAAGAATATCAACATCCATGCTGTGAGCTTACTGAATCCACCTAGTTGACCATTATATGACACAGACTGATGGCCTATATAAGTATGTTACCTGATACTGTAGGCCATGATTTACGTTCTTACTCCTTATGATTTTCAGTATTTATGTGACTGTACTGTGAAATGTTGTATGGAGGTAAGGGCTGAAGATGATGGATAAGGTTTGTAGTTTGAGGATGATTTACTGTATCTGCAATGCACAGCACTGCCACTAAAAACAGTCTGGAACCCATAGTCCTGCTATATAGTAGGTTGTTTAAATGGAAGAAATATCTCTCCCTATATTCACCCTCCCTATATTCACCCATCTCCTTATATTCACCCAAGTTCCTTTCAAAACACTGCACCAACTCAAAAGAGAGAACTTTTTTCAGTACTGGTAGTACCCATCTATAGAAAATATTTAATAAGGAAACTATAATATTGCATTGTTGGTATGAGTTGAAGAACTTTTTATCATATTCACATTTCAAGAACTATGTTAACTCATATACTGTAGACATTTGTTCTGTTGTATTTCTGTTAGTTTTTCTTTGCTTTTATTATCTGCTATACTGCTTTTATTGCTAATAATTCCTTTTATTTTATATTTATATTTATTTATATTATTATTGTTGTTAAGATTTCTTTATAAAATACTTAACTTTAAAGTATACGTTATAATTGGCCTTCAATGCTAAACACTTCCTTTGAATATAAAAGAGAAGATGAGTCTTTATTTAAATTTTGCTTTTACCAATAACTTACATGGTCAATCATAAAACAATGCCTTGAGGTCACTTTAGGAAAAAAAACTGCTTACAAGCTGATAAACTATTATACAGGATAAATCTTCCAAAGCAAAAATCATTAACTATTGGGTATCTATATCCTACAATTCCTTTGAGAATCAAAGCATTGTTAAAAAACAAAGCTTGACTCTGCAGAAACTAAGGAGCACTATTCATTACTAATTAGTTCAAACAACAATCAAGTACATTAAAAACTTTTCTGTTATCATTTATACTTGCTTAAAATCTTTCACAATTGCTTTGGCACAAATTCTATACTAATTTTGACATATTTTAGTAGTACTTCTGATTAATGAATTAAAACAGCTATGTAAATTGGAAAAAGGAAATATGGAAATGAAATTAGAGTTTTAGTTTCTTCCATTTAAAATTTTTGGTACAATAACCAGAATACAATGTTAGATTTTTAAAAAAAGATGTTATAAATTTAAAGTTTCAATGATGGTTCAGTTGGGCTTCTTACTTACACTTCAGTGTATATAGGAATAAAATGACATCATTGTACTAGTCTTTCTTTCTTAATTTTAGAATCCTTTCAAATAGTTTAGGATATTTAGGGAAGAAAGACTTGCTGGAAATGAAATACCCTGCTTTGAATGACCAGGTGATAATTTCAAATAGTTCAATAAGCCAAATAGTCTAACTGATATTTGCAAGAAGATATAAAAAAATTATAACTATATTCTCAACATATATGGTAATTTTTCAGATTTAGAACTGTAATTTTACTCTATTCATTTAGTTAACTTAAATCATCTTTATAGACAAGCATATTTTAAGGTTAAACAACTGCCAATATTATTATAATAAGGGTGTCTATGTGGGAGTTATATCCTAAAAGAATTTGGCAGAGAGATCCTTTACTTGTAGATTTGATACAAGAAATTAGCTACTGATTCTACTTAATGTTAACACCTAGAAGTATTCTTTAGATATAATTAAGAAAATAAATCTAAACTCATTGTACTTTTCCAACAAAATGAAAACATAATAGCATGCCAAAACTATTTAGCACAAAATTAAACAAGTCATTTTCCTGCAAATCTGAATACAAATTTGCTATTTATGTGAGGTTGTTTACAGATTCAAAATAAGAGAACAGCAAATAAAGCAGGTACAAAAGTTTGGATACCCTTCCAGCTGATTCAGTCTTTTTGTTTACTATAAGGGTGCTAATAATGCTAATAATAGAGCTAAATTAAGCGTAATCATCTTTTAGTATGATTAAATTTAATCAGGGAAAGACAATTCCACAGATAACAAATATTCTGATCTCCTTTTTCATTCAGATTGTAACTGTAGTTTTGTTTATTTTTAACAGCTAGGAGGCCTCTAAGCATCTCTCTGAGTATGTAACAAGTGAAAATAATTCATACTTACAAAGAAAAGACTTATAAAATAAAATAGCTGAAGGTTTCTGGGTAGCAATTTCAACTATAAGAAACATTTTGACAAGGTAGGGTGCCTAAACTTTTTCCAAATAAGTGTATTAAAAAAGAATTCAAGCAACAATAGAATTATTAAAAAATAAAAATAAATAAACTTTACAACTTATGGAATGTATTTGAAATTTACAATTAATTTAATATCTTGATAAATTTTTGGATGATATCATTGTAATATTTTGGATAATATCAATACATTTTATAGAATGTATAGAAATACGTGATTTTCCATGAAATATTATATGATACTAGACCAGGGCTTTTCAACCTTTTCACCGACTGTACCACTTTTAGGATATGGCAATATTCGAGTACTACCTAGCAAGGTGTCAAAAACTTGATGACCACAAAAAAAAAACCCAACAAAAAAAACCTCTTCAAAGTTGCAATTGCACTGAAAGGGGCGTTGTCTTACCTGAACGCCTTTTCTCAGCATGATGATGGAGAATCCACGAATGAGGTTAACTCTGTCTTCCTGCCCAGTTAGACTAAGTCTGTCAAACTTGCCACGCCTCTCCTGGGCTAGAATACCACCCAATCACGACAAAGGTGAAGCTATTGACGACAGTCCAACGTGTTGGCTCTCCTACCCCTGACACAGGACCTGACGGACACTAAGGGGTGGGTGTGGATTCTCCATCATCATGCTGAGAAAAGGTGTTCAGGTAAGACAACACCCCTTCTCCAGCATGAAGATGGAGAATCCACGAATGGGACATACCAAAGCTGCCCTGTCCCTATGGGAGGGAATCAGTCTGGGTCTGTGTCCCACTTTGTGGCACTACTTGCTGGAGCACACTCCGGCCAAATGAGGTGTCTGTGGCGGCAAACCTATCCAGCTTATAATGTCTCACGAACGGGGAAGGCGAGGACCAAGTCGCCGCCCTACAGATATCCCCAATGGATGCCTGTGTCGCCCACGCCGTGGATGTCGCAGCGCTGCAGGTGGAGTGGGCAGTGATATGGCTCGGGACTGACAGGGAATGCAACTGATACGCTCTTGCAATGCAAGCTTTGATCCACCTGCCTATAGTGGAGGCCAAAACCTTCTGCCCCATGGAAGAGGGTTGAAAGGAGACAAAGAGGGCTTCCAACTTGTGAAAGGCTTAATGTAATGGTGTAATGCCCTGCAGACGTCCAAGGTGTGCCATTGATGTTCTAAGTCATGAGATGGACGAGGACAAAAGTCTGGTAGGATCACCTCCTGCATCACTTTAGGAATAAATGACGGATCCAATCGAAGGACCACCCTGTCATTATGAAAAAGCATAGGTCATCCCTGACAGAGAGAGCTGCCAGTTCCGAGATGCGTCTAGCCGACGTGACAGCTATCAGGAAGGCTACCTTCATGATTAAGGACCGCAGGGTTCAAATGGCGGTGAGGTAAGGGTCTGTAAGACCCGCGGCAATTCCCAAGAGGGATATCGATGAACCATAGGCAGTTTGGTGTTAGTCGCTCCCTTGACAAAGGAGCGCACCATGGGGTGCTGAGCCAATGGCTCTGAATTGTCACATGTAAGCACCGTGGATAGAGCCACCACCTGTCTGCGGATAGTATTGGGCACCAAACCTTTGTTGAGCCCCTCCAATAAATAGTCCAGGATTCTCGGGATGGTAATGGCCAAGAGATCTAACTGGTTCTTTGCACACTAGTGACAGAAACTCCTCCATGTGGAGTCGTAAATCCTGTTTGTTGCAGGACACCTGGATGCTTGATCATAGCAATTACACCCGTCGAATAGGACTCCTGCATCAGGAGCTGCTGTTCAAGTGCCAGGTGGTTAACTGGAGCCACTGGGGTTCTGGATGTTGCAGAGCTGAGTGCAATGTGACCTGGAGGAATCCTGCATGGGGGAGAGATGGAAAGGCCCACGAGGTCGGCAAACCACGGCTGTTTTGGCCAGTGTGGAGCAACCAATATCACCTCTGCCTGTTCCTGCAATATCTTCCGGATGACTGCCGGGATCAGAGGGAGAGGAGGAAAGGCATATAGCAGGTCCTCGGGCCATGGGCTGCGGAGGGCGTCCTCCTTCTCCACCCCTGGAGATGGGAACCGGGAGAAAAACCTCGGAAGCTGGGAATTCGCTGAGAGGCAAACAAGTCCAGTACCGGATAACCGAACCTCTCCGATATCTCCCTGAAGAGATCTGGATGCAGGCGCCACTTGGAGTGATCCACTGTCGACCTGCTTAAGAAGTCCGCCTGCTGATTTGCCTCTCCCGAGATGTGCTCTTCTCTGAGGGAGGAGAGGTTGGTCTCTACCCAAGAGCCCAACAATTGGGCCTCAGTCATGAGGGATCTGGATCGGGTACCCCCTTGCCGGATCACATGGGCTTTCGCTGCTACA